TGTTTTACAATTGATTTATAAGTCTATGATCCAACTTCCAGTAGATCTATCGACCTATGATTCAACTTCCAGTCGATATATCAACCTATAATTCGACTTCCAATCGATCCATCGACTTATGCTTCGACTTCCAAATATAAATTCAATTTCCAATAGACAAAATTCGATTCCTAACAAAAATGAAATTTCCATGGACATTTTTGTTTCACGAAGAAATTAAATAATAACTACAATCAAAGTTCCATCATCCTTTCTCTCTCTCTCTTTCTTTCTCTCTCTCTCCCTTCGAGATTCTTACAAGAGACAAAAGCCTGGCAAATTTAAATGATTCACGACATTGACAATTTTTCAGCAACCTCGAGATTGTTGGCTTTTATCGATTAAATAACAGAACCTGCGAGATCCTCTCGATAGCATCGATTTTTATCTGATAACGTACAGTACGTTCGCATTCGAGTTTTTAATAAATTGACAATGCCATTTGGGGCCAGATTAGATAGTAAATAAAGAACCGTCTGCTGATTGTTTGCGAAATTTTTTACCTCAAATTTTTACTTACGTCCGCTGCAAACCTGATGTAAATTCGTGATGTGCCATTTAAAAAAATATTTTTTCATCTACACAATCTCGACCTACTCCGTTCCACAAGCTTACACCAATATTAACTCTGCAATCAATATCTTGACAGATCTACTATACCGAAGAAAAAAGAAAAAATCAAATTTCAATCATACTTACAATTTATTAAGTACCTACCTACATTCGTCATATCAACATTTACTGTATTACGAAATTTTCGAGTTCCATTTCAGAAATGATCAACGTGTACCTATCTTTGCAAATGTGAATGTATTCTCAATACAATTTTCAACAGAATTAAAAAGATATATTAAGAAACCTGAGAATCCTGTATAAATAAACTACTATTCTCGAAATATTAATTTCCCAAATATAAAAGCAAAGAAAATTTTTCACATAGTATTGAGAAACATGAAACGCAATTACATGCAGCAATATTTTCCTAGCCCCTCCACCAACAAATTAAAAAAAAAAAAAAAAGAACTCAAGGTGTTTCAAATTTAAAAATAAAGAGCAAAAGAAGAAGTAACTCAAAACATCCCAAATTTAAAAAGAAAAAGGAAAAGAAAAAGAAACTCAAAACATCCCAAATTTAAAAATAAAAAGGAAAAGAAAAAGAAACTCAAAACTTTCCAAATTTAAAAATAAAAAGGAAAAGAAAAAGGAACTCAAAACGTCCCAAAATTAAGAATAATAAACTGAAAAGAATAATATACTATACTCAAATAAAACACAATTATCATCAACAATATTCTTCTATCTCCCACCCACCACAAAAGAGAAAAAAGAAAGGGAAAAAAATTAAAAATATCCGAAATTGAAAAATAAAATATCGAAAAAGGGAAGGTGCAAATGTAGATATCTGGAAATCTACAGCCACGAAGGCACAAGTGCACTGGAAAAAACCAAAGAGCAGAAGGCAGGGTTGCTGAAGTACACGAGAGACCGTGAACACGGAATAAGCAAGAAAATTCCCTGCGTCTGCTGTAATTCTTACATTCCATGAATGTCGAACGAGCCGTGTGACACCTTCGCATACGTTGCACACGTCCGCGACGAAAACAACCGAAACACGCGTGAACGTCGGATCGCATGATAATCGGCAAGGCTATCGATGGGACAGGTTATCAGCTGCTCGAGATTCGGCCATTTAACGGTCCTCGCCGACGAGGAAACGAGAAATAGTGGCGTCCGATGCAGATAACGTGTCCTATTTCAAACTGTTTTCGCCAAACGCCCCGACGGAGGGGAAGCGTGCCGTAAAATTTCTCCTATGAAAGTTTCATGGCATTAGCATATATAGACACGCGAATCGATGCTGGCCCGCGATACATTTTAACGAGAAAAGGAAATTCGAGGCACCGTTTCGCTGAATTTCATTCAACTGCCATTTTTTCCTCGAGATCCCTCGTTGGGATTGCGAGCAGCGGAGAAAGGAACGGCGAGAGTGAGAACGAAGATTTGGAGGTTAGGATTCGGGGATTTTCTTGTAACGAGAATGTCACTAGTGGGTTTCTTAACATTTCTGATTGTTAGTCATTGATTGACTAAATGGGGTGAATTATTAGATGATCTTTTTCTGAATTAGTTTTGCTGCCAAAGGACTATTATGTTTGATTAAAATGTTAGGTGTAATAGGGAATTGTTAATTCGTTATTTAATCTTGGAATTATTAATTGTATTTTAATTGATACTGCAGTGGGAAGAAATAATGATTTTGTATTGCATATAATTGCTAGAGATGAATAATATCAGAAAAGGGGTTGAATGTGAAGATGTTAAGGCTCTAGGGATTTTTTTGTAACTAGAATTTCACTAGTGGATTTATTAATGTTTGTAATTATTAGTTATTGACTGACTAACTAAGATGAATTATTAGATAATCTTTTTCTGAATTAGTTTTGCTGTCAATGGAGTGTTATTTTTTACTAAAATTTTAGGTGTGCTGGGGAATTGTTAATTCGTTATTTAATTTTGGAATTATTAATTATATTTCAATTAATACTGTAATGAGAATAACAATGATTCTGTATTGCATATAAATGCAAGAGACGAATAATATCAGGAAAGGGATTGAATGTGAAAATGTTTAGACTCTAGGGATTCTTTTGTAACCAAAATTTCACTAGTGAATTTGTTAACCTTTCTAATTGTTAATTATTGGTGATTATTAGATAATCTTTTTCTACCTTAGTTTCGCTGCCAATGAACTATTATTTCTGCTTGAAATGTTAAATGTATTAAGGAATTGTTAATTCGCTATTTAAATTTGAAATAATTAATTATATCTTAATTAATACACTGCAGTGGGAAAAAATAATAATTCTGTATTGGATATAATTGCAAAAGACGAATATTAGGAGGAAAGGGGTTGAATGTGAGGATGTTGAGACTTTGGGGATATTTTTGTAACTAGAATTCGACTAGTGTACTTCTTGTTACATCATTTGATTGATTTTAATTGACATTAAATATTAACTAATTCTTTCTCTTACTTTTATAATCAGTTACCTATTTATTTTTCCTTTTCTTATTAAAATATCGAAAGATTGGGATAATCGATGCATGTTACTTCAAATTCCATACGGAAATGAAACTTTCCAAGCAGAAATTTCTGGCATAAGTACTTTCCACGTAAAACGATAACATCTTAACAGTGTAGCTCCACCAATATTATCTCCCAAGTAAAATTTGTTATTTTAATAAAAATCTAATCTCGTAATCAAGTGTTCCTAACAAATACTCGAATTGATACATGTACACATAACGACATCCAGAAAATTCTCCTCGAATCCATAACCTCCGGCAAAAGGTATTTAAAAGCCAACCAGAAAGCTCATATCGTAAACGAAAAATTTGTCGAGCTAACGTTATGTACCAAGTAAATAATCACACAAACGAAAAAAAACCTAAACATACGAGATCATATTTTCAAAGCTATATTTACCTCGTTTGAGACAACCTTGCAATCAAAGCAAAGTTCAAATATCTCCGCATGAAATTAAGAAAAGAAGAAAAAAAGAAAAATAGAAAAATCCAAGAAATCCACGAAAATCGTGGGACCACTTTCGGAGAGCATTCTTCCACGATTCGAAAAATTTACAAAGAGAGCCGAAGCACTTATCGTCGTTTAATTTATCGCGCGGAGATTTTTGTCTGCAGATAGAAAAAGGTGGAGAGATAGCCGCATGACTTTGCACCGAAAACCTAGTCGCGACACTCCGCTGCTCTACCTGAGACTTATCGTGTAAGAAGGTGCAATTAACGATAAGCCCTGGTGTGTTTCATTAACGCGCCGTGTTTTATCGTGAAAAGGTGATAGTGCTTACTAACAGGACTTTCCTTCCTTGTCCAATCGACCACAGTTGGGAAGATCGTGTGGCTCGATAGTTCTGTATTGTCAGAAGCTATCGAACAGAGTGGGAAAAATTCTTTGGGTACACTTTGCCATGTACTTACGTATCTAGCAACGTGGATTTGCGTTATTGCATTCATTGTTGCATTTATGCTATCTCGAGACTTAATCTCTCTACTTAGAACGTATCTTTCTCACCTGGAAAATTAATTTTTTCAAATTCAAATAGACTATCTTGAATTTATTTGGTAAGACTGTACCGATATCACGGAAAAATTCTAACTTCCAATATTTTATCTTTCCCTTTATTTTTATGGGATATTTATTATCGAAGTGTGAAAAGAAAATGAATTTAGATTATAATTGGCAAATTTTTCTCAACTTCCACGAGATACTAATCCTATAAACACTACGGATTATGACTTTACCTTTAGAAATAAATCTGTTCAAAGTAGTATGAACTTTAATTTCACGTGACAAGTTCAATTTTCCTAAAATTAATCACTCTAATAGAAAATTCCCGATTCTAAATATTGCATACCAAAAAATTCCATATAATTTCGTCTATAAAGTACTACAAATTTTGATTTTAATTTTTCTCAATTTCCACGAGATACTAATCCTATAAACACTACGGAATCTGACTTCATCATTGAAAAGAGATCCACTGAAAGTAGTACGAACTTTAATTTCACGTGACAAGTTCAATTTTCCCAAAATAAATTTCTAATAGAAAATTCCCGATTCTAAACACTGTGTACCAAAAAATTCCATATAATTTCGTCAAAAACCGGCATAATACCACCCACGATCTCGACACACCTTTGCTTCCGCCTCCCACCCACCCATCGAAACCGAAACTGACTCAAACCCTTCCCTGACTCCCCCACCCTCGACGAGAGAAATAAAAAAGAAGCAAAAATGAAAAAGAAGTTCCGAGAGAAGAAGGTTGAAACCCTCTGTAAGAATCAGCGTGTCGAGATGGCCGACCACCTCACAGAGAGTGCGCCGATCAGCAATAAGGAGGAACAAAAGCTGAGGAGAGTCCGGTTCTATGAACACTTACCCATAAGTCATCCAGGGTGATGGAGTTGTCTGTGTAGAAAACAAGCACCTCCGCCGTGAGCGGCGACGGTTCTCGCAATTTCGAGGCGAGAAGCAGGCAGGCAGTTCCTAGCAGCTGCAGCTGCGACTTCCTGATCGGGCAGATCGAGAGGAACCTGTCGACGTAGTTCATCGACAGGGGAAAGACCTCGTCCTGGCACTTCTGCTCCTCGCATACCTGTCACCGATCATCAAGCAACAGATTAGAATCGTGTCCCGGCTTCGACGCAGGGAAGAGGTCTATTGGCCCGGGTCCCTCACACGAAGGGGTTGCCCCGAACAATTTGTCCCTCCGCGGTGCTCCGGGGGGAAGGAACGAAGGGTGCTTGGGAATTAGAGAGGTATCGGTACCTGGACTCTCGATTCCGCTGAGTACAGTTATGTCTGGGGACCCGAGGATGATTTTTAGGCTAGGCTGCTGGGCTGTTAGGCACTAACTGTTAGGCCTAATGGGTACGTGGGAAGAAATATTGGGGTTCCAAGTATTTCCAGGGTTTCTTTTAGGGGGTTGATCTATTTGGAATTAGATTAGAGGATTGACTCGGGGTAACTTTATTTTATTCTTTGGAATTCCCGTTTAACGATAGACGGATGACTAGGTACGTGAATTTAGGTGTGTTTAATAGACATGTGATGAGAAATCTTGAGTTTTGAAATATTTTAAGGGTGTTAGTCTATTAGGAATTACATTAGAGGGTTAAGCTGGCTTAATTTTATTTTATTGCTCTGAATTCTCATCTAATGATAGATGGATTACTAGGTACGGGAATTTAGGTGTGTTTAATAGATACCTGACCAGAAATATTGAGTTTTGAAATATTTAAAGGGTCTCTTTTAGAGTGCTAACCTATTAGAAACTAGATTAGAGGATTAGGCTTATTTTATTGCTTTTAATTCTCGTTTAATGATAGATTGGTAACTAGGTACGTGAATTTAGGTATAATTAATAAACACGTAATGAGTAGTCCTGTGTTTTGAAATATTTGAAGGATTTCTTTTAAGGGGTTCATCTATGAGGAATTAAATTAAAGGATTAAGCTAGCTTAATTTTATTTTATTGTTTCGAATTCTCATTTAATGATAGATGGGTGACTAGTACGTGAATTTAGGTATGTTTAATAGATACCTGACCAGAAATATTGAGTTTGGAAATATTTAAAGGGTTGATCTATTAGAAATTAAATTAGGGGATTAACCCAGGTTAATTTTATTTTATTGGTATGAATACTCGTTTAATAATACCTAGATAATAGGTATCGCGAATTTAGGGTACGGAAACCGTGCAGCTTAATTTCGTTCTCATCGTGGAATTTTACCTCGTAACCTCCCGAAGCAAATTTTTATTGCCTTTTTAATGTAAATCGGCTGTACCCAGCGAACATTTATCGCATGCTAAATTGTCACCGCGATTTCCAGTCCCCTTTGTTGAGTCTTATGAAAAATTTATCGAAAATTATAATTTTAAACGTACAGCAAACTTTCTCGAAAAATCAATATCCCCCTTTAAATACGCTATTTATATTTATAACAAATAATTTAATCACGATTTAATACTTCCCGTTTTAATTCAACTATACGTGTTCACCTATAGCAATCACGGTTTACAAAAATAATAAAATAAACTAAGAATATTTTGTTTTCGATATTCGAAATTAAGCTTTTCTTAAGGGTTCTCGAGACGCACGACACTCGTGGCAATTTTAAATCGAGCTATACTGGGGGACGAATTAATAAAATGGCCGTAAAACGGAGAAAAGAGGAAAAAGAGAACAGAAAAAAAAAGAGACGAGTACGTCAGACCGGATTTCCTCTCCTCGTATTTTAACATCGCGGCTTTGGCTAATCGATCACCCTGGGGCACAGGTCGGGGACCTCGGTTTTTGTTTTCAAAGCATTCTCGAGGAGAAGATACAATCGATACAGTCGATGCTGAAGAAGAGTATAACGAGCTTTCGGCGAACGAAATTCAGGCTCGACGGGTGGAAATAATTTTTCATTCAACGACACTCCGTCTAAAGTCCGTTAGAAATAAACAAACATCGATTTCAGCCAGTTTCTGTGGCGTTCGGTCGAGATAAGATTAGGCTTGTTCGAGTAAGTAGTTTCAGCCGAACCAGACGAATCATGGACGCCATTGCCTGTTCATTTTTAGCGATTAGGTAACGGGAATTAATCGGAAATGTGACGTAAGGACTGTTAATTAGACACGTACACCAAATATATTTCTGGCAATTGTTTTCTTCGTTTTACGGCACACGTGAATTTTAAAAACTGGGTCACAGAGATTCCACGATTTTCTAAGTGCATAGGTTGAGTCATAATTTGTTGGGAAAGCAGCACAAAGTATGATAAATGCGAATATTATTAGTCGGAAAGAATAAATTAATTAGTTACGAGGATTAATGCTCTATACTACTGATATAAAAATTTATATTTGGTAAGATTAGAATTTAGGTAAATTTAATAATTAATATTAATTTGAAGGAATGGATTTTTTCAATGTAACTTATCATTTTTACGAAATTATTAGTGGTCAATGGCCAATCAATATGAAATATTGAGATTGTTAAATAATAGCAATGTTGCATCAACTTAAATATTTATTACAATTAAAATCCCATATCGATTTCAATAAATAAAAATTTGAATACAAATGGTAATTATAATTTCTATAAAAAAGAATTACATTATTATAACCAAAATTCCATATCAATTAGAACTTTTCAGGTAATTACTTATCTTCCAAGATTACCAACAGTACTGAAAAATTCCTATAAAAAGAAAAAAGGTGACATTACTAGAATTAAAATCCCATGTCAATTCTGATAATTGGAAATTTTAATGAAACTTCTAATCTTCCAAGAATACCAATAGCACTTATATTTCCCATAAAAAAAAAAAAAAGAAAAGCAACAATTACTAAAATTAAAATCCCATGATAATTCTGATAATTAGAAATTTTATTCTAACTTCTGATCTTCCAAGATTGTCAACAGTACTTGTAATTCCCATAAAAAGGAAAAAGGAAAGTAACATTACTAAAATTAAAATCCCATGTCCATTCTAATAATTAGAAATTTGAGTGCAACTTCTGATTTTTCAAGACCATCAACAGTATTTATAATTTGCATTAAAAAATGTTGCATTATTAAAATTAAAATCCCATGTCAACTCTGATAACTAGAAATTTTATTCTAACTTCCAATGTTCCAAGATTACCAACAGTACTTATAATTCCCATAAAAAGAGAAAAAGTGACATTACTAAAATTAAAATCCCATAACAATTCTAATAATTAGAAATTTTAATGAAATTTCTAAATTTCCAAGATTATCAACAGTATCTATAATTTGCATTAAAGAAGAGTTACATTATTAAAATTAAAATCCTGTGTCAACTCTGATAATTAGAAATTTTATTGTGACCTCTGATCTTCCAAAATTACCAAAATTACCAAATACCTTCCAAAATACCAGCACCTTTAACAGTAATATAAATCATCACACAGGAAACAGACGGAACCCAGCAATAGCGACATTTAAAATGCCACATCTCGAACACCAGTTCCCTGTTACCCAACACGGACCAATTAATCGCCTACTAGCTGACCGACTAGCTGACCAAGTCCCGTGGCCAACGAGAGCACGGTTCATCGATACCCCAAATACGTCAAGGTCCCCATGTGTAAACACGGTTTGGAAACCGTTCGGACTGCACACGTGGCCCTCGAGCACCGCCCAGCGCGCTTCCGGAACCGGGGGTTGACCGAAACTTTCCACCGTGGCCCTTCTGCAGAAATCCCACCGGTCGTCCCTTCCTACCGGTTAGGTGCAGCCCAACGAATCGCCGAATCGGCCAGCAAACGTTGCACCGCGACTTATTGACCGTGACCAACGCTTCCACCCTTTCTCGACACCCCTTTGTAGTTGTTCCACGACGCGTTCACCGCGACCAATTAGTACCAGAGGCTTAACGAAATAATTGTCTGCGGCCTATCATCGATTAAACGCCGAGTTAGGAGGGTGCGCGAGTCAAGGGTCGAGGCAGAGGCGAAAGTCCCGAGAATGTGAGGTTAGGTACGGGCTAGGGTGAGTTTCGACTGAGTTGCAGGCGGATCTGGGGATAATTGGTGAGGGTATAGGAACAAATTTTCAACTAAATCGGAAATAAATCGATACGTACAATAATATATAATAAATAATATTTTTAAAAAATAATATTTTTATAAAAAAATTATATTTTGCCTAAATTAAAATTTGTTCGCGAGTTAGTTAATTTTGAAAGAATTTTTGGAAGAATAGATAGGAATTACGGTTTATTAAAATTTATTAAGTACTTTGACATGTATAATATCATTGTAACTATAAGCTCTTTGTTCGTAATTGTTCTGCAGAATTTTTCACGTGGCTTTGAAGGGTATTTAACCCTTTGCACTCATATTTATATTTGAGAAGGCCACCAATCAATTCGGAATTTTTCATATTCGATCAAAATGAAGACATTTTCATGGGAAGGTATTGCAACTTAACTTGTCGATTTTGGTGGGAAAAAATGAGAAAAATACACAAATTTAATATTTGTATAATAATAAAATAATAAAATTATAAAATAAAATAATAAAAATGTATAATAAAATAAAATGACGACTATAGGACAACATAGGAGTGCAAAGGGTTAATTGCGAGAAGAAGGTTGTCAATAATTGCTGGAATTATTTGATTAAATAATTAGGGAGCATGATTATTAAAATTATGAAAATGTTTGAAGGAAAAGGGATTTATGGGAATTATTTCTTGTAAATATTTATTAGAAATTATTTGAATAATGAGAAACTGAGATCGAAAGATTATCAGGGCAGTCTGAGTGGGAGCATTACGAGGCAGATTCTAAGATGGAGGTAAGGGTTTTCAATTGAAACTGCGTGAATGGGAAATAAATAACGTGGGAGGGTATATGCTAAGAATATCTAAAATGAAAAACCCTGATCGCAAAATATAATTATTCGTTCAACAATAAAAAATATACTTTGCATTTAATATTGTTGAAAAATAAATAAATTTCGAATCGAAAAGTGCAGTCTATGAGAAAAGGGAATAAATTAATTAATAAGGTTATCAAAATTATTAAAATCGAATGGATCGTTATTATTTGCAACATTTCGCTGATTAGATGCCTTCT